GGGCCGGGCGGCAGCGACAAGGCCGGGCGGCTGCGACGTGGCCGGGCGGCTGCGACGGGGCCGGGCGGCTGCGACGGGGCCGGGCGGCAGGGACGAGGCCGGGCCGGACACAGCAGGGCCGGGCAGGGGCGACGGGGCCGGGCGGCTGCGACGTGGCCGGGCGGCTGCGACGTGGCCGGGCGGCTGCGACGGGGCCGGGCGGCTGCGACGGGGCCGGGCGGCAGGGACGGGGCCCGGGCAGGCCACAGCAGGGCCGGGCAGGGGCGACGGGGCCGGGCGGGCGAGCAGGGGCCGGGCAGGTGCGACAGGGGCCGGGCAGCCGCGACAGGGGCCGGGCGGGCGCCACGCGGCCAATAGGCCGCGACGGGGCCGAGCAGGGGCGACGGGGCCGAGCAGGGGCGACGGAGCCGAGCAGGGGCGACGGGGCCGAGCAGGGGCGACGGGGATGGGTAGGGGCGCGACGGGGCCTGGAGGGGCGTTACCAAGCCCAGGTAGGGGCGCGACGGGGCCTGGGGGGAGCGCAATGGGTCCCAGGAGGGGCGCTACGGGGCCTGGGAGGAGCGCGACTGGGCTAGGGAGGGGCGCGACGGGGCCTGGGAGGAGCGCAATGGGGCCCAGGAGGGGCGCTACGGGGCCTGGGAGGAGCGCGACGGGGCCCTGGAGGGGCGCTACCAGGCCCTGGAAGGGGCGCGACGGGGCCTGGAGGGGCGCTACGAAGCCCTGAAAGGGGCGCGACGGGGCCTGGAGGGGCGCTACGAAGCCCTGGAAGGGGCGCGACGGGGCCTGGGAGGAGCGCAAAGGGGCCCAGGAGGGGCGCTACGGGGCCTGGGAGGAGCGCGACTGGGCTAGGGAGGGGCGCGACGGGGCCTGGGAGGAGCGCAATGGGGCCCAGGAGGGGCGCTACGGGGCCTGGGAGGAGCGCGACGGGGCCCTGGAGGGGCGCTACCAGGCCCTGGAAGGGGCGCGACGGGGCCTGGAGGGGCGCTACGAAGCCCTGAAAGGGGCGCGACGGGGCCTGGAGGGGCGCTACGAGGCCTGGGAGGAGCGCGACGGGGCCCAGAAAGGGGCGCAACGGGGCCCAGGAAGGGGCGCGACGGGGCTAGGGAGGGTCGCGACGGGGCTAGGGAGGGTCGCGACGGGGCTAGGAGCACGACGGGGCCCAGCTAGGGGGCGAGCGGAAGCGTGAGGGGGGGGGGGGGGATCCTACCTACGCGTGATACCATATCAAACAGTGAAATTGATAAATAGAGAGAGAGAGTACACAAACATATACCTAATAGTTGTACTCTCTAGAAGATGACCCTATACAGTCTATACAAGCATGATAACTAAACATGTTTGACACGTTATCACCCTCCCCCTGATAACCGGGCAAGCGATCTTCATGCATCACGAAGGTAAAGGAAGCCGGACGACCGTCGGAGTCAACCCCCTCAGCTGTGACCTCGCGAGAACCGCCCGGGCCGTGACGGGTGAGGAAGATGGTGAGACGGTACTTCGGTCCCCCACCGAAGTCTTCGGCGTCCCCGTAGCGGCTCTACAGCAGGGTTGTTGTGCGGATGATCTGCGCATGGACGGCCGAGTACTCCAGCTGAGGTTGGGGCGGGGAAGAGGGGGAGGGGAGGAAGGGAGGGGAACGTGTATATATACAGAACCAGGGTGGTTTAATAACGACTCATTGTCACAGTAAAAAAAAAAACTCACCTGACCCTCCAGGAAGGACTTTTTGAGGATGTTTAGCTGCTCCAGTACGACAGCAAGGAACATGACAAGGAACCAGAAGCGGTAGCTTGTCACTATCCTGGAGAGCCGGGTATCAGTCCACTCCGAGAGCATGACGACGATGGCGGGTAGAACCTTGACTAACCTAATGACAGCCTCACCGCGAGAGAGCCATTGGATGTTATGAATGCCTTGAAGTTCGAGGTTCGTCGAGGTGAAGATTTCCTGCAGGTCCAATAAGCGCTGGTGCCATGGGTCGGATCGTCCGAAGTACTCAGCGAGGTTTCTGATGACATCGTCAATCATCTTGAACACTGGCAAGGATTCCGCCGCTGCTTTAGCTGCCAGTGCCTCTCTGGAGGGTGGGACAAAACGGGGAAAAAAAAAAAAAAAAAAGAAAAAAAAAAAGAGGGTACATGTTGGGCCTTGGGAGTGGGGTAATACACATTGCACATGCGGAAACCACCAGTGCACTTAACCCGAGGTACAGTAGCGGTAAACAACAACGCTCACCTGTGCGCAATACAGTGACACGACACCAAGTGTGGAATTTGCATTCGCAGCCGCGTCACAAGCCCAGCCTTTGACCCCATCATAACAGCAGCTCCATCGGTGCTTATGCCCACGACCCGCCGGAGGTCGACACCGATGGCGTTGATGTGAGACAGGAGTAGAGCGAGCAGAGAGGCAGCGTCGGCCTTGTCGACGCTCAGCAAGGCCAGGTATTCGCAGACGACTTGGTTCTCGCGAATGAAGTGCGCAAAGACGATGAGGTGCTTGCCGCGGCAGCGGTCTGTGCTCTCATCGATGCTCAAGCCGATGAACGGGCTCCTCAGAAGGTGGTCCAACTGTATTGTCTGCAGCCAGGTTGCCATGGACTGTGTGAACTCCCCGTACCCATAACTGCAGTAGCCAAGGGCATACAGATAATTAGTATGCTGAAATATGAACATTCGTCATGCATGATAGATGCATGCAAAACAAAATCAAACACACAAGAATACATGTTGTAGTACGTGCCATAGGTCTGCTCGGGGAAGTGCTCGTGCCGACGTTGGCTGAGGTAGCGCACGAGCCTGGTCCAGTTTTCCATCGGCTCGTTGCCTTTGCAGCAGAAGTAGAGCGCGTCAAGCAGCGCAGTCACACGTTCCTTCTCCAGGTCTGCGGCTCGAGGAAGCTGGTTGATCCTCATCTGGTTGGTTGCGTCCTGCAGCAGTGCCTGCTGCTTTGTCACGGCTAGGCGATGCTTGGCCGACCCCGCGTGCCTGTTGAATGCCTGCGAATGCACGTCCGTCAGCCCTGCGCCGCGTTTGCCGGCTTTTCCCTCTGAGTCCTGCATGCTCAAAGCACAGACTGCATTTAAACGCAGGGAATCCAACGTCAGTCTTAACGATCATAAGCCAGGGAAACCGCTCGGACCACCGCGTATTAAACCTGCTGAGGGCTTCACCGTAGACATCCTCAGGCGATCGAAACTTGTCGGGTGCAGCGGTAGTGTCGTCGCCATCGCTGTCGTCATCTTCGCACATGGCTGAGGGGCGGGGCGTCGTCGGCTGACCGCGTGGGAAATTCCACAGGGTGGATTGCCGGTATCGACCGCCAGGTTTCACAGGGGGGGCGGAACCTGGACTACAGGTAAAAGCATTAGCCAGGGATGGGCCTAGAATAGGCGCGGAATTCGGCTCGACAACACCTTGAGAAGTTGAGGCGACTGACTGCGAGGCGCATAGGGGGTTTTGTTCCGTCGGAGGGTTACGAGGAGTCTTCGGAAAACTACCTAGCGTCGAAAGGAGCATGTCAAGCCCAGTGGGGGCTTCGGTACGGTGACTGCCGCTGTCGTCGCCATCGTCATCCAATTCCACGTCGCCTGACTCAGGCATGTGGACGGGGCTCACTAGGGTGGTCGACGAGCAGAGACACACTACGGAGTGGTTGTAAAACAACGACACTGCGGGGGGAAGGTCACGTTGGGAGTGGCTAACGCAGTGGCTATTTCTACCGTGGGAAGAAACAGATGAAGAAGACGCAGGAGGGAAAGGGAACGATGGCGAGGCGCGAACACTTTGCCAGCCACGCACAGTTGGTTTCCTGTATTCCTGAATCTGGACTGAAACTAGCGCAGCGCATGCGCGTCGGCGTCGAACCGGAGTGTGGTGTTGAAGCTGGGTCATTATCGCTGGCGTACACGTGATTGGCTATTTAGGCAGCATTTACGAAGGCAACCAATCCACGCATGCAGGCAAACTGTGTGCTGGCCGACACTTTGAGAAGGACCAATGCCGTGAGGCAGCGCGGCAACATGTGACTCAGCAAACGATGTCTGCAGGCGGGAACCTGGCAGTCAAGCCACTTTTGTAGGGGAATATGCGCATATCGCTGTAATTCTGGGGGGGACCCGCAAATCACGCCTTTGACAAAATCAGAACCCATGCTCGATACAAGTCTGAAATTTCATGATCCATTACAAAAAAAAACTGACCTGACAGATATCCCTTACAAGAAAACCCTGAAATTTCAGGATATGCCAGAAACAAAACCCTAGCAAATCAGATCTGGTACCCCTCAACAACCTGTTTTTTCCTGAATCAGGAAAATTTTCCTGACTTATGGGGGCCTGCCCATAACCTCTACTCAGATGATGCTACGTCGTCTCTGGCAGGTCAGAGTAACCTCGAGTCTGTCTGTTATGAATGGGACTGCCGAGTAGCGCGGAGGGCAATGGCGAAACTGTGAACGAGTGAATGACAATAAAATGAAAGACAACACAATATATAGAAAGCCTAGGGTGATCCTGGACGTAGGATCGGAAGGTTCGGGAAAAGTATCGAAGGGCCTCGATTTGTCGTAGCGAGGCCCGGAAAGACCCAGGAGGCTCGAACTGATAGGTCTGGAACCCTGGCGATGGTTCAGGACTGTTCGAGTCGTACGTCCTGTAGCAAGCCTCAGTAAGGAATTACTGATTCCTTACACTGTCAATAATCAAGCGACAAATTCCAGGAGCTCGAATATTTATAGCTTTGGCCTCAAATCATGTACAGTAGCATTTGGTGATCATCAAAGTTTCCGCTTTGACAAGAAATTCCTCAGTTATCAGCCGGGATTTTCGGTAATGTCATGTCTGTCATTCTGCCAGTGTGACGACCTTAGCGATAAAGATTTGTATTTGTCGGGCTGGTAACAGTTATGGCCCAATTTCGTCCAAGCGAAATCAGGAAAACAAAATGCTCGCTCCTCCAGAACACCAGTACTGTACAACTATCACACGGCATCGTAATCCCTCGAGATTTGTTGGAGACTAGACCAGACAGTGCAACTTCGCCAGGCTATTGTGATCTCCGCCCGAGTGCAATAGCAAGTACTGATTTGCCTCAGTCCTTTTTGGCGGAAGTGCGTTGTTCACGGTCGCCATGTCTCACGGTAAGCGGCAGTTGTTCGTCTGTGCCTGTTACTTTCACATCCTTCCAGCTCCGCCAGCTAATCTAAGATCGAATGTCTCTATCACGGCTTGCTTCTCATAACACCTGACGGATCGCGGAACATTCCTGGCTCCCTTTTCACCCCTCATTCCCTAACGTCCAGATCCGAGGTACCCTTACGGCTATCCGCCACCAGCCGGCTACCCGCCACCAGCCGGCTATCCACCACCACCCTACCCTCCCGCGCCCGGCTATCCGCCTCCTCCGGCCGGCTACCCACCTCCTCCCTCCGGCTACCCGCCTCCTCCCGCGGGCTATCCGCCTCCCCCGGGCTACTACCCCCCCCCTCCGGCAGGGTACCCTCCGCCACCACCGCACTACCACCGTGAGATATCCAATTCACATTCAATCTTTTATATGCCCTTACCCTGTTAGGTCACTCTTTTGCAGGAAACCATTTTCGCTGAGAATCTTCCTTTCCTGCTTTCACGCTTCCTTTGCATGTCTTTATTTTGCTTGGACTCATATTTGTATGGTACGGTTTCAAATCTCTAGCCTCGTGATGCTTGCTGCTCGGTGTGACTGTGTTGCATGTACAGATGGCGCTGTGGCTCATTGCGGCATCAACCATAGCTTGGCGCATGGCATAGCTGGTTTTTGAGAATGATAAAATTACCAATTCATCCCGTGTGGCTGTCTTACACGTACAGATGGCGCTGTGGGCCATTACGGCATCAACCACAGCTTGGCGCATGGCATAGCTCACACCATGCACCTCTTCGGAAAGAGGAAGCACAAGGGGCACTTCGGATGGGGGAAGCACAAGGGGTACCACCATCACCACTACGGCCACCACGGCCACCACTATGGAAAGTGGAAGGTAAGATGCTGTTGGTTTTTTTGGATTTCCACCACCACGGCCATCACCACAAGGGATACCATCACCATCACGACAGTCACCATCACTACAGTCACTATCACCACCACCACGGCCATCACTAAGGAAAGTGGAAGTTAAGATGCAGTTGGTTTTCTAGGATTTCCACCACCACGGCCATCACCACAAGGGATACCATCACCATTCTACAGTCACCATCACCATCACTACAGTCACCATCACCACCACCACGGCCATCACCACAAGGGATACCATCACCATTCTACAGTCACCATCACCATCACCATCACTACAGTCACCATCACCACCACCACGGCCATCACTATGGAAAGTGGAAGGTAAGGTCGTTGGACTGGGTACTGGCATTGATCGTTGAAGCTACAGCAACACATTAGATGTTGCCTGTACTGCTCACAGCACCGCTTGAAGGAAGGTGCTCAGCTCAACTGTGACGGAGTTGCTGCTGTGTGAGTCCAGCCATTCCAGCCCTTGCCTTATTCAACCATCGTCCTCCCTTTCCTCGTTTCAAACCCCCACCACCTGCTGCTGAATCAACAAACCTACATCCACTGTTCTTCCCCTCTCACCCCTGCTCCATTGGCAGTAACCACTAAGAACCTGAGTGCGGAGAACAGAGCAACAGGAGCGGTATATGCCTGTTAAATCTTACTGTGATGTTTGCCTGTGGAAGTCGCTGGCTGTCTGGCCTCCCGTTACAACTGTTGTATGTGCTCTCATGTACAGAAGTGTGTATACGCCTTGTCATTATTGAAGTGCTGCTGTGGAGGGGTAAATTCCTTGTACTGAGTTGAATAAACGTTGTTGGTTACATTCTCATCCCGTGTATTGCCTTGTACTGGAATTCAGGTGTAGATCAGTCACAAAGAAGGGAATGGTATGGAAGCCCAGCTCCCTACCCTAGAGAGTAGTTAAAGTGCCATCCAAGACAATTGAGAGTCAAACAATGCAAGTTAATCAATAGGTGCAATGTTCAGACATCTCAGTAACAAGGCAACTAGCAATCAGCCCCGGGTGCATATCATGAGACGCCACAGCAAGAATGGTGAGTGGATCTGACATCACTCTGATCTGACCTTCGGGTGTGGAGGGTATCATGATGTGCGGGGAGGAGGGGTGTGTGTGTGAGGTGATAGTGACTTCTGAATCACCAGGGGACACCACACCACCATCACTCTGATCTTCCGGTGTGTGGTGTGTCATGGTGCGTGGGGAGGAGGGGTGTGTGGGTGGGGCCATGGTGACTTCTGAATCACCATGGGACAGTGTGCCTGTCACCACTGTCACTCAGATCTTCGAGTGTGCAAGGTGTCATGGTGCGTGGGGAGGAGCGGGGTGTGCGGTCGCTTGCGGCAGCGGTAGCAGCGACACATGATGATGAGGATGAGGCCCACCCACAGGAGAGGCACTGACCACCTGATATGGGAGGGCAAAGAAGAGGCAGGAGAACAGGGGCGGAGCAGAAACAGGAGAAATGGCACAAAGACAAAACAAGACAAGAAGCATTGCTCTCGCCAGCGGCAGAAAGGGCAGCGAGACGCGACGGGAGAGAGAGGCCCACCGACAGCAGCGGCACAGACCTCCTGTAATGAGAGGGCAAAGAAGAGGCAGGAGGGCAGGAGCAGAATCAGGGGGAGAAACAGACAGCAGGGCGGCAGTCATTGCTATCGCTTGCGGCAGCGGTAGCAGCGACACACAAGGATGAGAATGAGGCCTGACCACAGCAGCAGCACGGACCACTTAACACACCGAGATGAAGGGGATGAGAGAAAGGAAATGGGATGGGAGACAAGGAAGGACATGAGGACGGACAGGGAGACAGAAAGGGTGGGGGCTGCTTGCAGCAGCGGTAGCAGCCGGACATGTAAAAGTGTATGTACATCATGCATGCAGTGGGGAACATACAAATCAAGGTCGATAAAAGGGTTGTAGACGCCAGCTTCCTAGAAATTCACACAGCTGCGCCAGGCGGGGTTGAGGTAGAGCGAGTTAAAGGAACAGAAGATGCGCGTGTACGTCTCCAGAAACACAAACAGCGCCCAGGCGAGCACCATTACTAGCAGCACCTTTACACCGGACCTGAACCAGCACTACCACCAGCACCACTACAAGTACCACCACTAGCACCGAAACCACCATCACCACTGCCTGTAACTTAGGGGGACGTACAGATCGAGGTCGATGAAAGGGTTGTAGACAACTGCTTCCCACACGTTCACAAAGCTGCGCCAGGCGGGGTTGAGGTAGAGCGAGTCAAAGGACCAGAAGATGCGAGTGTACGTCTCCAGGAACACAAAGAGCGCCCAGGCGAGCACCTCCACCACCACCCACTTCACCACGAAGCGCCCGATCACGACCAGGACTAGTGAGCCGATGACCAGCCAGTTGAAGAGGCGCTGATTGTACTCCTTGAGGAACTGGGAGCGCTCCCGCGTCCACGTCTGTTAGAAAAAGGAAGGTCGGAGGGAGGCACAGGGCATGGTTTCAGCCAGCACCAGTGTGCCGATGACCAGCCAGTTGAAGAGGCGCTGATTGTACTCCTTGAGGAACTGGGAGCGCTCTTGCGTCCACGTCTGGTTAATGAAGGGGGGCAAAGGAATAAGGGGAAAGGGTGGGAAAGGAGAGCCCGGGTCAGCAGACGAGCCTCTGGGAAGACAAAGAGCGCCCAGGCTAGCACCTCCACCACCACCCACTTGACCACGAAGCGCCCGATCACGACCAGGAGGCCCTCGCCTTCTTAAAGCCACAAGCCTTGCCTACTTGAGCCGGTCGCTGCATCAAGACGAGCATCGAACTTCGGCACGGACGGGAGCCACATGTTGGCCATTGCGTCGAGCTCCCCCTCAGCTCAGCGCCTCCCATTTCGTGAGGAGTCTATTTTTGAGGCGCCTCAAAAACAGACTCCTCTGTTGGCTTTGAGTCGACTCAAAAGGCGCCTCAAAAACAGACTCCTCTGTTGGCCAGTGCGTCGAGCTCCCTCTCAGCTCAGCGCCTCCCATTTCCTTCAGCCACGCTTCAAAGCTCGCCACCGTGTGCCGCATTTCTGCGCCTCACCTTCTTGAGCCCACAACCCTCAGCTTCTTGAGCCCACAACCCTCACCTTCTTGAGCCTATCGCTGTAAGCCGTTTTACTAGGCCCCCGACACGCCTGCTCCACTGTGTGGTGGCAGGCGTCCAGGCGAGCATCGAACAGCAGTGACATGTTGGCCAGTGTGTCGCCCTTTCACTTCCCCATGACTGCCTCTCACCTTCTTGAGCCGGTCGCTGTAGGCCGTCTTGCTGGGCCCTCTGCACGCCTGCTCCACTGTGTGGTTGCAGGCGTCCAGGCGAGCATCGAATTTGGCCACGGACGGCAGCCGCATGTTGGCCAGGGCGTCCAGCTCCTCCTCACAGCCCCTGTGTGCCCCCTCGCACGCCTTGGCGGACTCAAACTCGTTCTCTCTCTTCAGGTTGATCAGGGCCTGCACAGGTGGTGCACCAGTCAAGGCAAAAGCACGGACGGGTGGAAGCCGCATCTTGGCCAGGGCGTCCAGCTCCTCCTCACCCCCTGTGCGCCCCTCACACGCCTTGGCGGACTCAAACTTTTTCTCCCGCTTCAGCTTGATAAGAGCATGTTTGGGGGGGACAGGGGTTAAGCGCAGGGGCTGGGATGATAGACCTCAGGATGTATGACTACACGCGCACCCCCTCATGCTCTGCTGGTCGCCTTCCCTGACTCGTTCTCGTTCTCTGGATTCAGCTTTATCAAGGAACCAGCCAGCGTGGAGCCACTTCACCTTTATCAAGGCCTGTATGGGGAGGACAGGGGGTAAGCGCAGGGGTTGGGATGACAGGTTTCAAGATGTATGGCTGGCTCCACGCCCCCGAACACATACAGCATAAGAAAGTGCACGCGCGCGAGCACACACACACAAACACACACGCAGACCCAAGTGCACACAAAAGAAAAACAGCCCTTACAACTCTCGGCTTACCACCGAATTGTTCACGCTCAAACACCTCCATGGCGTGGCTGCTCGCGCTACGGTGCCCCCCCACCAGCGCCGCCTCCTCTGCTGGCAGCGACGGCAACAGAAGGTGCACACATGCCCACCCTCCAACCAAGCACACAGAAACATGCGAGCGGACACACACGCACACGCAAAAGAAAAGCACCCCCTACATCTCTCAGCTCGTTCCGGAGACGCATTCACATCATACCTTGTAGTAACCACCCTCCTTTCGTTCCTCCCACGCACATCATACCTCTCTCAGCTCGTCCCGGAGCGGCCGTATCGCATCCTCGGCACTTTTCCCACCGAATCTCTCCCTCTCAAACACCTCCATAGCCCGGCCACTCGCGTTCCGGTGCGCCCCCACCAGCGCCGCCTCCTCTGCTGGCAGCGACGGCAGCAGGCGGCGCATGGCCTCGTGGTATAGCGCCAGGCACTTGTCCTGCACCGCTCGGTTGAACGCGTCTACCACTGAGCCGGCCGTGGGGATGTGGCCCTTGTTGAGAGCATTCAGGGTCTGGGGTAGGGAAGGGAACAGATGCACAACATGACACACGGGGACATGAAGGCATGGGCGCATGGGCGCATGGGCAGGCATCGGATCGACCGCATGGGAAGCATAAAGGGAGAAGCAGGCGGCGCATGGCCTCGTGGTACAGCGCCAGGCACTTGTCCTGCACCGCGCGGTTGAATGCGTTCACCACTGAGCCGCCTGTGGGGATTTGGCCCTTGTTCAGGGCGTTGAGGGTCTGGTGGGGGGTGGGGAGTGAGCAAAAGGAGAGAGCGCGGTGGGAAAAATCAGATGGAAAGAGACGGCAAAGACAGCAGCAGGTGGCGCATGGCCTCTTTGTCCCTTGTTGAGAGCGTCGAGGGTCTGAGAGAGGATCGGAGCTGACCTCAACGACTCACCTTCCCTAGCAGGTGGCCAACTCCTCCCCAGTGACTGGACTGGCCTCCCCTACATGGATCTTTGGCCGCCTCAGCAACGCCACCACCTGCCTCAGCTGGTTGCGGGCGCTGAGAGACCACCACACGGGCTGAGTTGCCTCTCAAGGCACCGCACCTTCTCCAGCCATGGAACAGAGCTGGCTGGCACCGCACCTTCTCCAGCCATGGAACAGAGCTGGCTGGCACCGCACCTTCTCCAGCCATGGAACAGAGCTGGCTGGCACCGCACCTTCTGCAGCCATGGAACAGAGCTGGCTGGCACCGCACCTTCTCCAGCCATGGAACAGAGCTGGCTGGCACCGCACCTTCTCCAGCCATGGAACAGAGCTGGCTGGCACCGCACCTTCTCCAGCCATGGAACAGAGCTGGCTGGCACCGCACCTTCTCCAGCCATGGAACAGAGCTGGCTGGCACCGCACCTTCTCCAGCCATGGAACAGAGCTGGCTGGCACCGCACCTTCTCCAGCCATGGAACAGAGCTGGCTGGCACCGCACCTTCTCCAGCCATGGAACAGAGCTGGCTGGCACCCCCCCCCCCGCACCGCACCTTCTCCAGCCATGGAACAGAGCTGGCTGGCACCGCACCTTCTCCAGCCATGGAACAGAGCTGGCTGGCACCGCACCTTCTCCAGCCATGGAACAGAGCTGGCTGGCACCGCACCTTCTCCAGCCATGGAACAGAGCTGGCTGGCACCGCACCTTCTCCAGCCATGGAACAGAGCTGGCTGGCACCGCACCTTCTCCAGCCATGGAACAGAGCTGGCTGGCACCGCACCTTCTCCAGCCATGGAACAGAGCTGGCTGGCACCGCACCTTCTCCAGCCATGGAACAGAGCTGGCTGGCACCGCACCTTCTCCAGCCATGGAACAGAGCTGGCTGGCACCGCACCTTCTCCAGCCATGGAACAGAGCTGGCTGGCACCGCACCTTCTCCAGCCATGGAACAGAGCTGGCTGGCACCGCACCTTCTCCAGCCATGGAACAGAGCTGGCTGGCACCGCACCTTCTCCAGCCATGGAACAGAGCTGGCTGGCACCGCACCTTCTCCAGCCATGGAACAGAGCTGGCTGGCACCGCACCTTCTCCAGCCATGGAACAGAGCTGGCTGGCACCGCACCTTCTCCAGCCATGGAACAGAGCTGGCTGGCACCGCACCTTCTCCAGCCATGGAACAGAGCTGGCTGGCACCGCACCTTCTCCAGCCATGGAACAGAGCTGGCTGGCACCGCACCTTCTCCAGCCATGGAACAGAGCTGGCTGGCACCGCACCTTCTCCAGCCATGGAACAGAGCTGGCTGGCACCGCACCTTCTCCAGCCATGGAACAGAGCTGGCTGGCACCGCACCTTCTCCAGCCATGGAACAGAGCTGGCTGGCACCGCACCTTCTCCAGCCATGGAACAGAGCTGGCTGGCACCGCACCTTCTCCAGCCATGGAACAGAGCTGGCTGGCACCGCACCTTCTCCAGCCATGGAACAGAGCTGGCTGGCACCGCACCTTCTCCAGCCATGGAACAGAGCTGGCTGGCACCGCACCTTCTCCAGCCATGGAACAGAGCTGGCTGGCACCGCACCTTCTCCAGCCATGGAACAGAGCTGGCTGGCACCGCACCTTCTCCAGCCATGGAACAGAGCTGGCTGGCACCGCACCTTCTCCAGCCATGGAACAGAGCTGGCTGGCACCGCACCTTCTCCAGCCATGGAACAGAGCTGGCTGGCACCGCACCTTCTCCAGCCATGGAACAGAGCTGGCTGGCACCGCACCTTCTCCAGCCATGGAACAGAGCTGGCTGGCACCGCACCTTCTCCAGCCATGGAACAGAGCTGGCTGGCACCGCACCTTCTCCAGCCATGGAACAGAGCTGGCTGGCACCGCACCTTCTCCAGCCATGGAACAGAGCTGGCTGGCACCGCACCTTCTCCAGCCATGGAACAGAGCTGGCTGGCACCGCACCTTCTCCAGCCATGGAACAGAGCTGGCTGGCACCGCACCTTCTCCAGCCATGGAACAGAGCTGGCTGGCACCGCACCTTCTCCAGCCATGGAACAGAGCTGGCTGGCACCGCACCTTCTCCAGCCATGGAACAGAGCTGGCTGGCACCGCACCTTCTCCAGCCATGGAACAGAGCTGGCTGGCACCGCACCTTCTCCAGCCATGGAACAGAGCTGGCTGGCACCGCACCTTCTCCAGCCATGGAACAGAGCTGGCTGGCACCGCACCTTCTCCAGCCATGGAACAGAGCTGGCTGGCACCGCACCTTCTCCAGCCATGGAACAGAGCTGGCTGGCACCGCACCTTCTCCAGCCATGGAACAGAGCTGGCTGGCACCGCACCTTCTCCAGCCATGGAACAGAGCTGGCTGGCACCGCACCTTCTCCAGCCATGGAACAGAGCTGGCTGGCACCGCACCTTCTCCAGCCATGGAACAGAGCTGGCTGGCACCGCACCTTCTCCAGCCATGGAACAGAGCTGGCTGGCACCGCACCTTCTCCAGCCATGGAACAGAGCTGGCTGGCACCGCACCTTCTCCAGCCATGGAACAGAGCTGGCTGGCACCGCACCTTCTCCAGCCATGGAACAGAGCTGGCTGGCACCGCACCTTCTCCAGCCATGGAACAGAGCTGGCTGGCACCGCACCTTCTCCAGCCATGGAACAGAGCTGGCTGGCACCGCACCTTCTCCAGCCATGGAACAGAGCTGGCTGGCACCGCACCTTCTCCAGCCATGGAACAGAGCTGGCTGGCACCGCACCTTCTCCAGCCATGGAACAGAGCTGGCTGGCACCGCACCTTCTCCAGCCATGGAACAGAGCTGGCTGGCACCGCACCTTCTCCAGCCATGGAACAGAGCTGGCTGGCACCGCACCTTCTCCAGCCATGGAACAGAGCTGGCTGGCACCGCACCTTCTCCAGCCATGGAACAGAGCTGGCTGGCACCGCACCTTCTCCAGCCATGGAACAGAGCTGGCTGGCACCGCACCTTCTCCAGCCATGGAACAGAGCTGGCTGGCACCGCACCTTCTCCAGCCATGGAACAGAGCTGGCTGGCACCGCACCTTCTCCAGCCATGGAACAGAGCTGGCTGGCACCGCACCTTCTCCAGCCATGGAACAGAGCTGGCTGGCACCGCACCTTCTCCAGCCATGGAACAGAGCTGGCTGGCACCGCACCTTCTCCAGCCATGGAACAGAGCTGGCTGGCACCGCACCTTCTCCAGCCATGGAACAGAGCTGGCTGGCACCGCACCTTCTCCAGCCATGGAACAGAGCTGGCTGGCACCGCACCTTCTCCAGCCATGGAACAGAGCTGGCTGGCACCGCACCTTCTCCAGCCATGGAACAGAGCTGGCTGCACCGCACCTTCTCCAGCCATGGAACAGAGCTGGCTGGCACCGCACCTTCTCCAGCCATGGAACAGAGCTGGCTGGCACCGCACCTTCTCCAGCCATGGAACAGAGCTGGCTGGCACCGCACCTTCTCCAGCCATGGAACAGAGCTGGCTGGCACCGCACCTTCTCCAGCCATGGAACAGAGCTGGCTGGCACCGCACCTTCTCCAGCCATGGAACAGAGCTGGCTGGCACCGCACCTTCTCCAGCCATGGAACAGAGCTGGCTGGCACCGCACCTTCTCCAGCCATGGAACAGAGCTGGCTGGCACCGCACCTTCTCCAGCCATGGAACAGAGCTGGCTGGCACCGCACCTTCTCCAGCCATGGAACAGAGCTGGCTGGCACCGCACCTTCTCCAGCCATGGAACAGAGCTGGCTGGCACCGCACCTTCTCCAGCCATGGAACAGAGCTGGCTGGCACCGCACCTTCTCCAGCCATGGAACAGAGCTGGCTGGCACCGCACCTTCTCCAGCCATGGAACAGAGCTGGCTGGCACCGCACCTTCTCCAGCCATGGAACAGAGCTGGCTGGCACCGCACCTTCTCCAGCCATGGAACAGAGCTGGCTGGCACCGCACCTTCTCCAGCCATGGAACAGAGCTGGCTGGCACCGCACCTTCTCCAGCCATGGAACAGAGCTGGCTGGCACCGCACCTTCTCCAGCCATGGAACAGAGCTGGCTGGCACCGCACCTTCTCCAGCCATGGAACAGAGCTGGCTGGCACCGCACCTTCTCCAGCCATGGAACAGAGCTGGCTGGCACCGCACCTTCTCCAGCCATGGAACAGAGCTGGCTGGCACCGCACCTTCTCCAGCCATGGAACAGAGCTGGCTGGCACCGCACCTTCTCCAGCCATGGAACAGAGCTGGCTGGCACCGCACCTTCTCCAGCCATGGAACAGAGCTGGCTGGCACCGCACCTTCTCCAGCCATGGAACAGAGCTGGCTGGCACCGCACCTTCTCCAGCCATGGAACAGAGCTGGCTGGCACCGCACCTTCTCCAGCCATGGAACAGAGCTGGCTGGCACCGCACCTTCTCCAGCCATGGAACAGAGCTGGCTGGCACCGCACCTTCTCCAGCCATGGAACAGAGCTGGCTGGCACCGCACCTTCTCCAGCCATGGAACAGAGCTGGCTGGCACCGCACCTTCTCCAGCCATGGAACAGAGCTGGCTGGCACCGCACCTTCTCCAGCCATGGAACAGAGCTGGCTGGCACCGCACCTTCTCCAGCCATGGAACAGAGCTGGCTGGCACCGCACCTTCTCCAGCCATGGAACAGAGCTGGCTGGCACCGCACCTTCTCCAGCCATGGAACAGAGCTGGCTGGCACCGCACCTTCTCCAGCCATGGAACAGAGCTGGCTGGCACCGCACCTTCTCCAGCCATGGAACAGAGCTGGCTGGCACCGCACCTTCTCCAGCCATGGAACAGAGCTGGCTGGCACCGCACCTTCTCCAGCCATGGAACAGAGCTGGCTGGCACCGCACCTTCTCCAGCCATGGAACAGAGCTGGCTGGCACCGCACCTTCTCCAGCCATGGAACAGAGCTGGCTGGCACCGCACCTTCTCCAGCCATGGAACAGAGCTGGCTGGCACCGCACCTTCTCCAGCCATGGAACAGAGCTGGCTGGCACCGCACCTTCTCCAGCCATGGAACAGAGCTGGCTGGCACCGCACCTTCTCCAGCCATGGAACAGAGCTGGCTGGCACCGCACCTTCTCCAGCCATGGAACAGAGCTGGCTGGCACCGCACCTTCTCCAGCCATGGAACAGAGCTGGCTGGCACCGCACCTTCTCCAGCCATGGAACAGAGCTGGCTGGCACCGCACCTTCTCCAGCCATGGAACAGAGCTGGCTGGCACCGCACCTTCTCCAGCCATGGAACAGAGCTGGCTGGCACCGCACCTTCTCCAGCCATGGAACAGAGCTGGCTGGCACCGCACCTTCTCCAGCCATGGAGCAGAGCTGGCTGGCACCGCACCTTCTCCAGCCATGGAGCAGAGCTGGCTGGCACCGCACCTTCTCCAGCCATGGAGCAGAGCTGGCTGGCACCGCACCTTCTCCAGCCATGGAACAGAGCTGGCTGGCACCGCACCTTCTCCAGCCATGGAACAGAGCTGGCTGGCACCGCACCTTCTCCAGCCATGGAACAGAGCTGGCTGGCACCGCACCTTCTCCAGCCATGGAACAGAGCTGGCTGGCACCGCACCTTCTCCAGCCATGGAACAGAGCTGGCTGGCACCGCACCTTCTCCAGCCATGGAACAGAGCTGGCTGGCACCGCACCTTCTCCAGCCATGGAACAGAGCTGGCTGGCACCGCACCTTCTCCAGCCATGGAGCAGAGCTGGCTGGCACCGCACCTTCTCCAGCCATGGAACAGAGCTGGCTGGCACCGCACCTTCTCCAGCCATGGAACAGAGCTGGCTGGCACCGCACCTTCTCCAGCCATGGAACAGAGCTGGCTGGCACCGCACCTTCTCCAGCCATGGAACAGAGCTGGCTGGCACCGCACCTTCTCCAGCCATGGAACAGAGCTGGCTGGCACCGCACCTTCTCCAGCCATGGAACAGAGCTGGCTGGCACCGCACCTTCTCCAGCCATGGACAGCTGCCCCCCCCCCCATGCAGAGCTGGCTGGCACCGCACCTTCTCCAGCCATGGAGCAGAGCTGGCTGGCACCGCACCTTCTCCAGCCATGGAGCAGAGCTGGCTGGCACCGCACCTTCTCCAGCCATGGAACAGCGAATTATTCCCCTGTGACCGGCTTCCCCACCACGATCTTGACCCAGTCTTGGCTCTTAAGCTGACCTCAACGACTCACCTTCTCAAGGAGGTCGGCAAACTCCTCCCTGGTGACCGGCTTCCCCAACACGATCTTGGGTTGCACCAGCGACGCCACTACCTGGCGCAGCTGGTTGCATGCGCTGAGTGATCAGCCATGGAGCAGAGCGACCATGGAGCCATGGATCAGCCACCACAACGTCTGAGTTGCCCCAATCCCAAGTCACTCACCTTCTCCAGCAAGTCAGCGAACTCCTCCCCTGTGACCGGCTTCCCCGACACGATCTTGGGCTGCACCAGCGACGCCACCACCTGCCGCAGCTGGTTGCGCTGCCGCACGTATTTAGGGTCTAGGTCACTGTCTGACAGTTCACACAAACGTGTTCTTGCCAGGTGCGGCTGGTGGTTGGGTTGGGAGATGGAATGAGGGGAGGATAGGAGTAGAGCGCGCAAGATGAGGGGATAGTTTTGAGGCGCCTCAGAATGAGGGGAGGATAAGAGGAGAGCGCACAAGGGGATGAAGGGAAGGAATGCCACCACCTGCTGGAGCTGGTTGCGCTGCCGCACGTACTTGGGGGTCCAGTCCAGGTCAGTGGTCACCGTCTGACAGTTCACACAGCCGCGTGCGAGCGAGGTGCGGCTGGCGGTTGGGGGAAGATGAAGGGAGGGATAAAGAAAGTGAAGAGACTCTGCTTTATCCCTCCCTTTATCTGCCGCAGCTGGCTGCACTGAAGCGCGCATTAGAAGGGTATATGATTTTTTAGGCGCCTCAAAAATCGGCGCATTAGAAGGATATATGTCTGAGGGGAGGCGCGAGATGAGCCTCGCATTGCAGGCAGAAAAACGGAGGAGGGGATACTGGAGGAGAGGGTCAAGAATTAGGCGAGGGCCTGGAGAGGAATGGCCATGCTGTTAACGGTCATGAGGTTCAGTGACTGCCGGAGGAGGCTGACTCCTTTACCTGAGTGAGTCCGAAGGCAGTGATGTCGGCAGCATCAATGAGGCTGAGGGATTGGCGGATGAGATTCCCCTTTGAGTCGACTCAAAAGTCAGCTCCCTTGGTCCATGTCCATGTCGTGTGGCTCTCAGGGTTGGCAACGGAGGCAGGATGAACGAGCAGAGACAAGCATACCTGAGTGGGGAGTACCTGAGTGAGTCAACCCGAAAGCAGTGCTGTTGGCCGCCATGACGCTGAGGGACTGCCGGATGAGATTCACTTGGTCCACGTCGTTGTCGCTCTCAGGGTTGGGCGGAGAGGCGGGACATAACTAACCTGCCTGAGGCAGTGCTGCTGAGGGCCGTACCTGAGGCAGTGCTGCTGAGGGCCGTACCTGAGGCAGTGCTGCTGAGGGCCGTACCTGAGGCAGTGCTGCTGAGGGCCGTACCTGAGGCAGTGCTGCTGAGGGCCGTACCTGAGGCAGTGCTGCTGAGGGCCGTACCTGAGGCAGTGCTGCTGAGGGCCGTACCTGAGGCAGTGCTGCTGAGGGCCGTACCTGAGGCAGTGCTGCTGAGGGCCGTACCTGAGTGACTGAGTCAACCCGAAAGCAGTGCTGTTGGCAGCCATGAGATTGAGCGACTGGCGGATGAGGTTGAGGTGCTCCACTCCACGTCCTTGTCGCTCTCAGGGTTGGGCGGAGAGGCAGAGATGACCGAGCAGTGACAAGCATACCTGAGAGGAGTGTACCTGAGTGGAGTGTACCTGAGTGGAGCCTAGCCTACCTGAGTCAACCCGAAGGCAGTACTATTAGCAGCCATGAGGTTGAGAGATTGTCGGATGAGATTCACTTGGTCCACGTCCTTGTCCTTCTCCGGGTTGGGCACCGGCTGCAGCGCTCCCCGAACCATCTCCTGCACCGTCTTGCCCTCTGTGCCCCAGAAATATTGGGAGGAGGGGGGGGGGGGGGATTGGAAGTAGGAAAAGGTTGGGGAAAAGCAGGGCTGGGCACGGGTTGCGTTGCGTGCTCCCAGGACCATCTCCCAGACCGTCTTGCCGTCTGGGGCCCAGGGAGAATTGGGGGATGGAGGGAAGAAAAGGGCTGCGGAGACACGAGGGTTGGGCACCGGCTACAGCGCTCCCAGAACCATCTCCTGGACTGCCTTGGCCTCTGGTGAAAGTGAGGGAAAACAGGGGGACGCGGGAGAAAGGATTGAAATACTCGAAAGCAGTGCTGCTGCCTGAATCATCACATGCACCGACCGCCGACCGGCATTCCCTCGGTGCCATCAAAACAAGGCAACGAGTGCGCACCAGAGGTGCAGCTACTGGAGGGAGAGGAAGGGGAAGAGGAGGAGATGGGTTGCGAGGAGGAAGGGAGGCGGACGAGCGGGAGCGACGCACCTAGGAAGTCTCGTTGGATGAGCCAGAGCAGCTTGGCTGGCGTGAAGACCTCGTCTCGACCCTGCAGCGAAAGGGAGGGTGGGGGGGGGGGGGTAAGGGGACGGGAGGAGGAGCAGGGCGGAAGGCAGGGGTGCGAGTTTCTGCGACATGCAAATCTCGTTGGATGAGCCAGAGCAGCTTGGCTGGCCTGAACACCTCGTCTCGACCCTGCAGCGCACGAGAGGGGGGGGGGGGCGGAGGGGAGGAGGAGAACAGAGGGAAGGAGGGAAGGACGCGAGTCTCTACAACATTTGAGTCTCGCTGGACGAGCCAAAGCAGCTTAGCGTGTGAACAATTCGTTTTTAGTCTCGACCCTGCAGGGAATCAGCAAGAGGAGCCGGGGGGAGGGACAGAATGGGGGAATGAGGAGTGGGGGGGAGTGAGGGGGAGGGGGGCGGGAGGAGAACGGGAAGGGGGTTGGGGGGGAATTGAGGTGTTGGGGTCTAATACTTCTCAAGCACGATGCAAATATGTCAAGATGGGATACGGCAGGTTGTGATAGGAAGATAGGAGAGGACGAGACAAGAGCGCAAAGTACTGGCAGGGCAGCCCATTCCATTCCAACACAAGGTAGCAAAAGAAATGGACAAACACTGGCAAGAAGAAACGGACAGAGAGTGGCATTGATAGGACTCACCTTTACTCTGATTGGTTGCATTGTTTTGAGGCGCCACAAAACTCACCTTTACTCTGATTGGTTGCATTGTATCGCGAAAGAACCCGAGAGTGCATGCCCCGCCGCCTCCCCCCGACGCACACATGCAGGAAGGTATGAACAAGAATGGAACAAGCACACAGTAAGTATGCAATAAGCATGCAAAAAGCACCAAAAAAATCCCGTCTGGAATTACTTTCACTCTCCACTAGCTCCCAGTTATCACCCCCAGATTCCAATCCAATCCAACCCCACCCACCAGTCCTATCGCTCCCTCTCTCCCACCTGCCGTACAACTCCTCTGCGAGCTCCACGGCAAACGACAGCTTGGCTATGTCTGCCTCTTTGACCGACTCTACACTAGCTGCCTGTGAGCTATTCAACACCCCCTCCCTCCCTCCTCCCACCACCTCCCCCCTTCCTCCCCCCATCCCTCCCCCCACCTGCCGTAGAACTCCTCTGCGAGCTCCACAGCGAACGACAGCTTGGCTATATCCGCCTCCTTGACTCTATACCAACTCTCTGTACCATTCCCACAGTTTCTACGCCCCTACCTGCCCTCCCTCCCTCCCACCTGCCGTAGAACTCCTCTGCGAGCTCCACAGCGAACGACAGCTTCGCTATGTCTGCCTCCTTGACTGTCTCTGCGAGGTTGTAGATGAGCACCGAGCTCAGCACCGTCGCCAGGGCGAATATCCTGGAGAGACAGAGAGGGGGGAGGGGAGGAGGGGGAGGGCGGGAAGAGTAGGGAAGAGAGGGGCAGAGGGCGAAAGAAAGCTATCACCTAGACGGCAGCTTGCACCTGGCTGGCATCCTATCCTATCGAACTGGTCTGCAAACCGGACACCAGGAGAAGCTAGCACGCACACCTGCCATTGTAGTCGGACGACGTGCCAATAAGTGAACTGAGGTGCTCTGGCCGTTCTGACCCTTCACCACCTATCACTTGGACAAGAATGCATGCAAACCTGTCATCCTAGACAATCGAACTCCTGGCACGCTCAAAGCCCTCACGGTCGAGGAGGGGAACTGAGGTGGTCTGGGCGTTGAGACCACTAAAACACTGTCACCAAGACCCACCTCCCACCACACACGCCATAAACTGGGTACATGCGCACCTGTCATCATAGACGGACGATTTGCCGACACTCTCAAAGCCCTCGGTGTCAAGGAAGAGAACAGAGGTGGTCTGGCCATTCACTTCCATCTCCATGGGGTCGCCCCACACCCATATGCCTGCCAGCCGGGGGCACACCAGAGCACAGGGTACAATGAAAGGCTGAGAGACGTCAGGGAGCGGGAGGGTACAGCACAATGAAGAGAGAGAATGGACTGTCGTCTGGCGGTTGACCTCCACCTCCATGGGGTCGCCCCACACCCATATGCCTGCCAGCCAGGGGCACACCAGAACAAAGGGTGCAGCGACGTTTTTTTAGGGCAAAGTCAGGGAAAGCATAAAAGAAAAGCACGATGAAGGAAGGGAACTGAAGTGGTCTGGCCGTGGACCTCCATGTCTCCATGGGATCGCCCCACAGCCATGTGCGTTCCAGAGACACATCGCAATAAAGCATGATGCATTGTAGCGCATAGCATGAAGGGTAATCAGATGTGATATGTGATCACGTGTGATCAGGTGTGATCAGGTGTGATCAGGTGTGGGTGATCAGAGGTGATTAGAGGTGATTAGAGGTAATCAGAGGTGATCAGAGGTAATCAGAGGTGATCAGAGGTAATCAGAGGTGATCAGAGGTGATGAGCGGTGATCAGATGAGATCAAATCTGATCAGACGTGATGAGATGTGGTCAGGAGTTCATGGTACTCACCCTTTGTCTGGGTGTCTCGTGCATGGCCCACTCCAAACCCTGTGGATCGACAGCAAGCACAGACATGCACAAGTCGGATGTGAAGGCACCGCTCATATTACTGGCATCGTGCGTACCATATTATGACGGATGGATGGTGACAATGCAAGAATGCATGAAATGGCAAGGGGGGGCTGAACTGGAATGTTTGGTGAAATTAATAAATAACATAAAGTGCTTTGCTATGGTCCAGTATACCTTATTTATAGGTGTACCTTCATCGCAAGTGAGTGTGAGTAGTTGGTTCAGCAGAAACGACTTCCCTGAGCGGTACGGTCCAATTACCTGATGATGAGATGAGATGGTGGAAGTTTAATGAGTTTTATTTTGGTCGTAACCAAATGATGAGATGATGGGCATAACGCAGACAGGTAAACGTGTGCACACGCATGCATGCATGTCATGCCAGCAAGAAGAATAGCATACCAACAACAATCAATGTCACGCCAGCACCAATCAATGTCATGCCAGCAGCAGTCAATGCCATGATGTGTCAGACCAGCGACAATAAATGTCGCGCATAATGCAACAACAGCTAACAGGCGATGCAGGAAACTCATGTCCTGAGATACGCAACGACCACAACAACAGGGGTGTCATACTCAACTCAGGAGCTAGCACAACACAGCCACGACAAAAAATTTGATGCAGGGGTTTCAGGAGCAATCCCTACGGCAACGACTGCGATAGGGTTCTTGATGCTTTTGATCATATGCACCCAAATCGATGGCATGCCATGCCGACAACCACATCCATGAAATGGTACAGAGGTGTCAGGTGCGGTGCAGTGCAGCCATACCGCAACGATGGCGATGGGGTTCTTGATGCTTCGGATCACGTTGAGACCCTCCTGAGACACTTTCAACTTCGTGTGCTTCGTGTCCGGCTGTATTATTGGGTACCTGCATCACGTTACAGGAATATTATAACACAATTATTCCAATTATATCTTTATGACGGCCTCCTGAGACACCTTCAGCTTCGTGTGCTTCGTGTCCGGTTGTATTATCCGGCACCTGCAAGCGTGTTGAAGATACACAATGGTGTGTATGACAGTGAAGCTACATGATTTGACAATTGAGAAACATGAATTTACACTTGTAAGACATCAAGCTTCGTGTGCTTTGTGTCAGGCTGTATCCCCGGATACCTGCATCACACATTGTGATACACAATGTTGTGATGAAAAAGATGCATGACTTCAAAATATTGAAGAACATTGGAAAGAATCTACACGTGTAATACGTTCAGCTTCGTGTGCTTTGTCAGGCATCACAGGTACCTGCACCGCACAGCACATTATGGCGTCAGATGGCAGTGCATGCATGGCATGGAACTCTATGATGTATGATGGCAAGGCATAAGGTATGGTGTGGTATGGCATGTCATAGTATTCTATGGCATGGCATGGAAGGAACGGCATGGCATGGAAGGAACGGCATGTCCAACCAAGCGTAGACGCCCTTGTCAGCCGGTCGCTCCACTCAACCCTCACAACATAGCCTATCGGAAATCCAACAGCTTCTCATCGCTTTCTGGCTGGGTTGGCACCAACAACAGATTCCAGATCACTCCTGTCTTCGCCTGAATCTACATACTACGGAATCATTCACCGCATCTAGACACTATGCCAACACTCACTGCCGAATCCTAGGAAAACTCGGAGGAAGAGCTACGTCCCGATCGCTAGGATCGGATTCTGCAAGGAACCGCCTGGTACTCAGCACACACTTTCCAGCCAACTAGTACCCACTACATGGCTCGAACCCCCCTAACGCCTTTCCCGAGACCAAAGAACCCCATATTTCTTCAAGTCGTCTAATCTAGTCCCAGTTCCCTCGCGTGCTGCTCGAAAGACCGTGCCTTTCCTGGAAATTCTACCAGATCACTTTTCCTGCACGACAACTCACGCGCGACGATGCTTCGTGTCGCCGCTGCTTCGCCAAACTTCGCCATCACCCGGTGTTCGTGAAACATCCGCAATTTCCTCATCTTGTCCAGTGGCGACTCTAGAGGCTGAGGACAGTAGAGTGAGTGTAACGAGAAGGAGCCAAACTAAGGCGTGGCGCGATGATTTGGCCATGGGCTCTACAACAACCAGCATGAGGAAGCATGTGAAGAGTTTCAAAATTCTCATTTTTTTGTAAAAAAAATTACGTACTCATGTACCTATGGGGATGTAGCTCAGATGGTAGAGCGCTCGCTTAGCATGCGAGAGGTATGGGGATCGATACCCCACTTCTCCACGTTTCCCATGCTGCCAGATACTTGGGCTTATTTTTTCCATTCATATTTGTTCGTTACGTTCGCCCGATAAGACGGTGTAGAGACCCAATGCTTGGGTGTCTTATTATTCATGACTACAAGACCCTCCCTAGAGGATGTAGATGTACCCCCCTACTTGGTTTTTTACATGAATTCAAGCCTACAATTGTGCACTACAATAACAACTTCCTACTGGTACATGACGCACATAGTTAGGGAACCAGTCAGCACCTAAAACACGAGATTATTGCACTCTACGCCTACATAAGACTGTCGGAATGCCCTCTACGCCTACAGCAACTTCCACGCCCACGCCAGGCTCTGGCTCTTCATTCTCCTGGTCGCCGTTAGTATCTTCAGCAGCCGAGTCGCCATGATCTTCCTCCATGGCAGAGGTGCGTTGTGCCAGCGTCATGCGAGGCAGTGGCTCGAATGCGTCAGTAGCAGGCTCTGGTTCAGCGGCTGACGCTGATGGCTCTTCCGCCAAGTCTTCAAACGGGTCGCAGCCCAGAATGTCTTCAGCCACCGCAGGTTCCGGCAATGGCTCGTCGTCATCGTTTGCACCACCATCGTCGTCGCCGGCAGCATCGTCTTCATCCTCGTCAGCGTTCTGCGGGACGGCGGTGTTGTCGCCATTCGCCCCCGCCGCGCCGACATCGTCGTTGACGTCGACTTCGTCAGGAGCTTGTTCCTTGAGATGGCGGAGGATCATATGGTCCTCCGAGCCATCCAGTGCGTTGGAGATGCCGGTGACTTGAACGCTTTCTGGATAAGCGACACTGGCACTTCGCCCAAGATCTTCCCACCCAGCGAATAACCTCCTCGGGGGGAGGCTTCTTCAGGTTCCATACGGTGCGGGGGAGGGGAGTAAAGAGGAGTGCGTTAGTACTGGTATAAACACATCAAGTGTAAGCATCTCATGAGTGGTGCTTGACTGTAAGCATATGGATCTGCGCATTCTCACCGGCTCTGGTAAAAGTGTTGATGCCGACAGTGGCGAACCAATCTTCATACTCTACCCGCACGGAAGCTTTGAATGACTTGAACACACACACATCGAGAGGCTGTAGAACCGAGGTGCACCCGGCCGGAATGATGGCGGGAGTCATCTTGAACAGGCGCATAGTCTGCTTGATCCCTCCGTCAAGTGCCCCCGAAATGAGTCGAGCACGACCAGGCTGGCAGGGCAAGGCCTCCCTGGCTGGGGAGCGACATGCGGTGCAAGGACTCGGGTTATCCAGTCCTGCACCATATGCTCGTCCATCCAGCCTCTCGGCTGCGCACGGATGATGCCATCTATGCATACAAGAAAAACGACGGTAAAATTAGGATGCTTGGCGTTGTCATGAAATCAACAACAAGTTGACCCCGCATGGTAACAAAAAGCGCGTCAACTTACTCGGTGGGACTGGGGTGGAAGGCGGGCAGACGCGCTTGAAGACGACGTACGCGGGCAGCTTCTGGCCAGCAGCCGTGCACGCCAGCATGACGGTTACACGCTCTTTTTTGTAACCGGCGGTCCTGACGTGCACGGTTTTGATACCCCTGTGCTCGACCGTGCGCTCGCTTGGCATTTCCAGGAATATACCCGTCTGGTCGGCGTTGATCATGAGGGTTTTGGGGATGGCCTTATTGAATATCTGCTTGCGGCAGAAATGCCAGAAACTCTGCGCCTTCGGCTTGATATCTACCAAGCATGGGAGGCACGGGGAAGGACGGAAGACGAGTAAGCATCAGGCTGTTGCACAAGGACAGAAACGAAAGATGCAATAGCAGCATGGAAAACACGTGCAACATCAAACCGAGAGAGAAGTCCAATTCGAGTGGTGAACTCACCGTCGGCCAGGCGTTGGCCAATCTTAGTCTTTACCCTTACTGACAGACCCCACCGTGCACGCATGCGCTGAGACCACCGAGAAGATGCCTTCCAGTCGACTGATGGGTGGTTCTTGGCCATGTAGTTCAGGCTCCAGAGACGGATAAGATTGACCGACACGGGAAGCCCGCGGGTCCGGTAATGTAGCAGCTTCCTTTATACCCAAATTTCAATGTCTGCGTACAGCGACTGTCGCCCGCCGCCATGGAGCCGCTTACGGCAGGTCGCAGCTTTCTCGAGTCGCGGCGGTCCTTGATCCACCTGCGCACGCAAACAGGCTGGACACCCGCCTTTTTAGCGGTGGCACGAGTGGAGAGCTGGTTAGCATCCGTGTAATCCAACCACGCCAGCTTCTCCTTCACGGTTCTCGCGCGCCGAAGACCTTTCGAGGCGCGGGACCTTGGCGAGGGAGGGGATGCGTCGTGGTTAACCTCCCAGTCCTCGCGCGACCTGCGTCCAGTCGGGTAAGAGGGGATAGGAATCTGGGGCTCGCCGTCGTCAGACATGTTTTCAGCTTCACTGGAGTTATCGGCATCACCCACGCCCGTCGCATCCTCGGCATCGCCCTCGTCGAAGACGCCGTCGAAATTCGCGCAAGGATCGGGCCACTCTTGGTCACAATAACGAAAGGCCAAAGGAAGGCTGGGAGGTGCCGGCGGCGCTGGCGGGGCAGGTGGCGCTGGCGGCGCAGGAGGTGCGGGAGGAGCGGGAGGCGCTGGTGCGGCATAAACCCATCGGTCAAGCGTCTGTGAGTGTGGGTTATGGCCCTTGATAATGGCCGCAAGCCCACTCGTGGTCACTGGAGGAATTGCGACGGGGGCAGAGCTAAGTTGGTTTCTACTGTCGCGAATTCACGCCAGGATCCCACGACATGGGTGCCATAAATCTAGACAAGGATCAGCACCAGCATCAGCACCAGCACCAGCATTAGCACCAGCACCAGCACCAGCACCAGCACCACCACCAGCACCACCACCAGCACCACCACCACCACCACCAGCACCACCAGCAGTACCCGCAACCAGACCCGCCACCAGCACCACTTACCACCACCACCCTCTGACCCCTCACACATGCATGCCCTCACCTGCATGAGCCCTGCTCCAGAACGCTCGTCATAGCGCTCACTCGTCACCTCCCACGCACTCCCCGCCCTCGCTAGAGCGCACACCACCAGCACCGCCTCCCCCTCGCTCCCCGCCATGCCCGTCAGCCACAGGCGCTTCTTCGGCCCGCTGAAGTGGCATTGGAGGAGAATCGATACCATCGCCTGCAGCTCTGGGGGAGGGAAATGGTGGTTGGGGGGGAGGTGCGGAAGAGGGGGAGGGGAGGGGGGGAGGGGGGGGGAGGGGGAGGGGGAGGGGAGGAGGGGGAGGGGGGGGGATGGAGGGGGGAGGGGGGGGAGGGGGAGGGGGAGGGGAGGAGGGGAGGGGAGGGGGATGGAGGGGGGGGGAAAGCGCGTTGGAGTGGGTGGGTGGTCTTCGAGAACGCTGAAGTGGCGTCGAAGGAAAATCGATGTCAGCGCCTGGAGCTCTTGGGGAGGGAGAGGTGGAAGGAGGGGGAGAGAGGGTGGGTTTTTGGTAGGGTGGCGGCGAGTGACTGACGGAGTGCACAGAGTTTGATGGATCCCACCAGCCGATTTGATGGATCCCACCAGCCGGTTTGGTGGATCCCACCAGCCGGTTTGGTGGATCCCACCAGCCGGTTTGGTGGATCCCACCAGCCGGTTTGATGGATCCCACCAGCCGGTTTGATGGATCCCACCAGCCGGTTTGATGGATCCCACCAGCCGGTTTGGTGGATCCCACCAGCCGGTTTGATGGATCCCACCAGCCGGTTTGGTGGATCCCACCAGCCGGTTTGGTGGATCCCACCAGCCGGTTTGGTGGATCCCACCAGCCGGTTTGATGGATCCCACCAGCCGGTTTGGTGGATCCCACCAGCCGTTTTGGTAAGCACAATGAAACTCCTTATACCTACCTCGTTACACCACTCACTCACCTTTCCTTACTCATCCTCACTCCTCTCCCCTGCCTCAACCTACAAGGCTGATGTATGCACTACAGTCCTGTCCAGACCTCCTTCCATTCCTGCCTACCTTATACCTTCGCAATCTCTCACTCACTCCTTCCCTCTCCTCCCCTCCCCTCTCCTCTTCCCCTCCCCTCCCCTCTCTTACCCTCTCCCCCTCCCCTCCCCTCTCTTACCCTCTCCCCCTCCCCTCCCCACTCTTCCCCTCTCCTCTCATCTCCTCTCCTCTCCTCTATTCCTACCCTCAAGGCCGATGTGCGGCACAGTCGTGTCTCCAACCCTTCTCATCGTGAACGGAACCTTCCCCGATGCATCTCGCCGCTGCTCCCACAGCGCCGTCACAGCCGGCTGTTCCCACATGGCTCGCATGTCGTCGCCGTCGGTCCAGTCGTCCCAACAGCAGACATTCGGCACGGAATTAACGCAATCACCGCTACCACTGCTATCACCGCGATCACCGCGACCACCGCTATTACCACTGTTGCCGCGACCACCGGTATCACCGGTACCACCTCGACCACCGCGTTTCTCGTGACCACCGCGGCCACCGCGGTTATCCATGCATCCGTTGCAAGCTTAACTCTTTCCGTATTCAAGGCAAAATTCAGTCTCCAACACCCGCTGCAGTCAGAGTCCGAGAGTCCAGTGGAAAGATGATGCGACGAACCGTAGGGGACGGTGACTTTGGACACAGACCGTCGCTCCGAAACGCGTGATCCAGGTTCTAGCAAGTCACACGCACTGCAACAGCAGCTTTACCAGTAATGGCGCTGCCACGAGCAGCACAAAATCGAGCTGCGCTGCAGCGCCATTGTGCGACATTCACATCGAAGAGGCCTCCGAACTTTCCTGTTTCTCGCGACGACGGATGGCGACGGATTGCGACGGGTCGAGATGGTTGGCGACGGATGACACTGCGGAATCTGCATTTATGTTGCTGCGTCGGATGGAACGAGACGGGGTCGCGCACGGAGCCATCGCGAAGCGCGCATGGAAAAGGGGTTCCATCGATGTGATAGTTTCGAGATTCTTACTATTCACGGGTTGGTAGATTCGGGGTTTCTACTGTACTAATGGGTTTCTATAGTTCTAGAAACAACACCATGCAGTGCACAAGCGGAGGAGGTTGCATGGCATGCAAGTGAAAGCTCCTCTGCTATGATGTGGAAGTGATTGAAAGCTCACACCAGCAGTTTTCGAATAATCGCCTCCCGGGGTTGCATGGCAGCTTGGGTGCGAATTGGGACACGACATTTGAGAGGAGTGTGCAGTGCAGTCGTCATAGGTAAGGAATTTGCGCAGAGGCACAGTGCTATGTATTAGTGAAAAGCAAGCAAAGCGCGTACATCAATGAGTTCGGGAGACCTGCACCGCTAAAGGCAGAATGGTCGCTACCAATGCGCAAACAACTAGAGCCAGGAGCAAGGCGAATGGTTGCGACCACAGCGGGGGCCCAAGAGGAACCGTCCGGGCATAATAGTGGCCACCAAAAGGCGCTAGGCCAATGCGGGATTACAAGGGTGAGCGAGGTGCGCGAGCGGCGGGCGTGAGCGAGGACAGCGGGGATCAAGGGTGGGGGAGGAAAGGCGTAGCAGTTGTCACCCGACCAGCTAAGAGAAAACGCATCCTGCGCGACTACCGCGTTAGAGAGCTCGAGCGAGCAAAAACGAGCCAGGTGCGCATTAGCCGGGAAAGCGAACAAATCAATAGTATGAGGACCCCAACGCCTCTCTAGCAGAAGGAACCAAGGTCGTGCGAGAGAGTAATCGTCGAGAAGATCCAACTTGGAGAGCGCGTCGGCTTCTGTATTAAGGGTGCGTGGGATCCACTGGACTGTGAGCCGAATTTGGTGGCGCACGCAAAGGTGGATAATAGCTCGGCATATCAGAGTCAACTCAAGCCGGCGGGAACCCCCCTTTTTCATAATGTAATAGGCCGCTTGGCTGTCACTGCGGAGCAGGACGTGCGAGCGTCGGACCTTTTCAAGAAAGGTTGACAGTGCCCAAAGGACGCCAGCAAGTTCGCGGAGCGTGCTGGATGAAGAGATGAGGGCCCGGGGGAGTGGTGAAGCATGCGAACCGGCGTCGCCGTCCGGCGCTGAAAAACACGCGCCCCATGCGCGATCACTGGCATCCACATACATCACGACGTCGTAGAGATGAGGATTGTGGAAGCGCGATCCATTGAAGACATCGAACTGGGTGAGCCAGAAACGCAACTCGTCGAGAGAATTGGGTGTCAAGAGAATTGACGCCCCCCAAGAGTGACACTCAGAGATCTGAGAAAGAAGATTGTGGGAGAAGGCACGCGCGACCGTGCCAAGTGCGAGCGCCATGGAGGCTAGCAAGCCAGTGATGCGAGCGGCCCGACGGACTGGGATAGGCCACCCTTGCGCGCTAAGTGCACATGTCTGCTCAAGTTCGGCAAAGAGTCGCTCGCGTCTGCCGTCATCGACGGAGAAAGACGTGGTGCGAGTGTCCAGTAGGAGGCCCAAAAACTTTAGGCACTGGGTTGGTTCGAGCTGCGACTTCTTGAAGTTGACAACGAAGCCAGCTGACTAAAGATCCGCTAAAATGACGGCACGGTGGCAAAGGGCCTCGGCTCGAGTAGCGTTGATGAACAAAATGTCACGACGTATGGGATAAGTCGGATGCCACGTCCGCGCCAGCGTTTTGCGAGCTGCTTGATCAGCTGAGTAAAAACGAACGGCGCAGTAGCTAGACCAAAAGGCAATGATAGAAACAGGTAGCGCTGCCCTTGGAGTGTAAAACCAAGGAAGCGCCAATACGAGGGATGGATATCCACATGGTGGTAGCCAGATTTTAGATCGATGGTGAATAGCCAATCGTCTTGCTGCACCAAGTCGGGCACCCGATTCAAGCCCTCGTAGCGAAAACGGGGGACAGAAAGAAATGAATTCACGTGGCGGAGGTCCAATATGAGCCTCTTTTTGGAAGGTTGGACGACTACGTTAAGCGGGCTGATGCATGTGAGTGGCTCCGATGGAGGAACGAGCCGGGCCGCTCCCGTAGCGAGGAGCTCGTCCACCGCCTCCACCGCGAATGTGTGGAATTGGAGTGCCCCGGCATGGTTTGAGGCATGCCGCACTGTAGGCTCTGAAGAAGCCCAGGGAAGGCGGTAGCCGGACGCGAGGACCGATAGCATGAAGCGGCTATCGCACCAACTGGACCACCATGCAAAGCAGGCACGCAGGCGTCCTCGCATACGGATTGTATCACCCGATGTGGCAACATGTACTGCGAAGGAGCCAAGCTCTGGTGAGGGGCGGTGACGAACAAGTACAATAAAAAAGCCGCAAGGGCCGAATGTAAGTTATCGTTCTTAACTGTACAAATACGTTTGCCGAAGCATGCGTAGCGTGAGAAGTGTGCTCGAAATAGTCGAAGCGAAAGCAAGAATGAAGGCAACACTTTTCGCAGTATGCGCACTAGCAATGTTACAATCTTTGTCATGCTTTCATCGGTCGGAGGTGCGTGTTCCAATGTTCCACATGCGTTTTGTACCTTTTGGACTGCCTTTCTTTTCCGGCACTTCGGCCGTTCTCATGCTTCCCCTTACTCCCTTTTTTTGGGTTGTAGTTGTTGTTGTTGTCGTTTTTTTTTTTTTTTTTTTTTTTTTTTTGCACGCAAATATTGAATAGCATATTGCCATGCTATATTCGAAGCGAATTTGAGCCGCATGCTCGATCACCAATTGGCACATAACATGAAATAATAGATTTATAGCATCAAGGTTTTACAAAGAATCGGCCATCAAAGCCTCTAGACAATCTTAGCCGGCCGGTTGGCCCCTTGGCCTCGGCGAGGACAATCTGTAAACCCATGACCGGGTTCGCGACAATAAAAGCATCGACCGTCGCCATCCCGACGCCACGTATTCCAAGTACGTGCGTCTTCACCCCTACTACGAGGGGGGGGATCGGTGCGGGATGTTGAGGTGGTGGGTCTAGTAGGTCTCTTTTTGCTGGCGGCCACAATTTGTGTGGCAGCCTTAACGTTTTTATCTTCCACCACCTCCCCATATTTAATCTTTAGGGCCATATTGGCCACTTCAAAACCGCGTTGATCTGCGGTGAATAAGAAATGAATCTTTTCCTCCGCCTCGTCGACTATCAGCTGGAGATAGTCGGCGGCTAACTCGCCACCACTAGGGGGCAAAGCGGAGAGCGCGTGCCGAGCAATAGCCTGGATACGCTCGAAACTAAAAAGTTGGGTTCGAATGCCGTCACTTTTTACCAAAGAAGAACGCAACTGAGGACGTGCAGGAGGGATAGGAGCAAGATTCGGAGCGGTAGAACCGGACTTGAGACGAGCGGCGTTACCTTCGTCGAGGGTTTCAATGGGCGCGTCGTCGTCCGCGCCATCGCCCTCGGGTTCGGCCGCGGCGGGAGGAGGGCGGGAGCGTAGCACTGCTGCTGCCGCAGGTCGAGCAGGTGCAGGGGGTGGTGCTGGATCACCGGATTGTCCGCGCTGAAGGGCCGCGAGAAGACCGATGACGTGATGAATTGCGTCATTATTAGCGTTGTCGTTGTTGTTGTAACGAGCAGGAATGTGTTCTGCAGATCGGGGCGCTGTAGAAGCAGAGGAGCGCGCTGTAACGCGTTCACCAATTGCAGCACCCGTGAAGATTCGCTGGAAATTTCTTTGGGTGGCGGGGTCCAGACGCGCCATAATTTCGGCGAAATTTGCAGATCCATTGGCGATGATGACAGGATCCTGCTGTGCGCGCTGATTCGTCGGGCGAGATTCCAAATCGGCTCAGACGTCCACATTCTGGCGATCGCCACGATCCTGGCGATTTGCGCGCTGGTCAAGATTCTGACGACCCAGGTCCTGACGCGTCTGGTCACGCTCAGGATTCTGCCCATCATTACGACCTGCGCGCCCAGGATCGCGATGATCATTGCGATCCTCGCACGCAGGACCGTCATGATTGCGGCCGAGGGGTGCCGCGCGCAACTGTTCCACGGGTGTCGGGGCGTTTTCTCCTGGCGGGTTCAAGTCGACACGTTCACGTTCTTCACGCCGCTCGCCGCGAAACCCGGGGGGGAAATCGCGACCGTCAGAAGCGTTATGATCTCCGACGGGAGCCAATCCGGGTTGCTGAACGGGGTTTCGCCGAGCACCATTCAGCAGATCCAAGGCAGTAACAGATGCGTTTTTGTTGCGTGGAGAGCGGGAATGATCACGGTGAGTAGAAGAATCTTGACTTCCCTCACCCACAGGGGATCCACGTCGTCCATTGCTCCTTAAATTCATTCTTGAAACAGGAGGACGACCAGTTGCAGCAGAAACAATTCCTCCAGTCATGGTAGAAAAACGTGCAGCAATCACGTCCTTAATCAGAGAAGAGAAATGAGAATGAGACTAGGTGGCAGGTCCATCGGACCTGCGAGAATGTGAAGGAGCTGGTCTCCTTTACAGCAAAACTCCTCTTCAAATCGAATCACAATCTGTTAATTTTTTATTCCTAAAAAATCATTCATGTTTCTGCAAGCTGGCCCTCGAGATTGTCGCAAGAGCCGCAAGAGCTGCAAGAGCCGCAAGAGCCCCAAGAGCCGCGCGAGGGGTGTCTCGCAGAAGCAACTCCCTACAAAGAAACAGAAAACGACCAGCTCCACTATTTCCAATTATTCTCCGGTATGCTGATTAACTCTATAAAAATGCACATACATTGCGCTAGCCCTGGATTTGCATGGCTATCAGGAAGGCAAGAGGCGGGATGCCACATTCCAACTGAACCGAAGTTCACAATGGTACGTCCTGCAATGGGATCAGGGGAAGAGCCATTAGAAGCATGCAAACACAAATAATGTAGCACACCATAAGTACAACAAAAAATGCTAGAGAGGTGTTGGAAGACGAAAAGAAACAAGCACATACCTGTTGGCTGCCTCTGCCCATCAGTGCAAACATCCAATCCAACCATCCACAACGCAATCAGAACCCTCCTCTGAGGAACATCCTGGAAGTGAGCAGGCAACCTGCACCAACCACATCCAACCGCACTCAACCACATCCAGCATCTGCGTCCCACCCCCACACATGCCCACCAACACACATTTACCCCCGCCTGGCAATCTAATCTACACCTAACCTCTAGCTTCATGCCACGCCTGAGAGCCCACAATCTGTGAGTGCGCCCACGTTGTTTTCCACTCGACTCGCAATCTGCCTGACTTCCACTTAACGCTGAGCTTCACCTACAGTTTAGCGGGGTTTACGTGCACCCAGGTTGCCTAGGAACCGTCCCTTGGGGGCTGGCACGTTTGTGGGGGGCACAGCAGGGGCTGGCAATTCATTACCAGAGGAAGGGGCTGCTGTGGGTGGTGTGGGTGGCACTTGCTCGGGGCCGGTTGAGAAGGGGGCTGTCAGGGTAGTTGGGAATGGGGTGTGGGGTGGATTGACTCCTGCCAGGTTGTGAGTACCTGCCAGGTTGCCCAGGAAACGGCCGTTGTGGCTGCTGGGAGCCGGCATGGGCGCTGGCGCCTCTTGCACCGCCCTCGCAGGGACCGATGAGTCGTTGCCAGAGGGCCAGGGCGCCTGCGGGCTGGCTTGCGGGGGTGCCGGATAGTAGGGGGGTTGAGGGGAAGATGGGTAGTAGGGGGCTTGTAGGGCTGATGGGTAGGGGGGTTGTGAGGGCGATGGGTGGGTGGGGTGTGAGGGCGATGGGTAGGGGGGTTGTGAGGGCGATGGGTAGGGGGGTTGTGGGGCGGATGGGTAGGGAGGTTGTGAGGGCGATGGGTAGGGGGGTTGTGAGGGCGATGGGTAGGGGGGTTGTGAGGGCGATGGGTAGGGGGGTTGTGAGGGCGATGGGTAGGGGGGTTGTGAGGGCGATGGGTAGGGGGGTTGTGAGGGCGATGGGTAGGGGGGTTGTGAGGGCGATGGGTAGGGGGGTTGTGAGGGCGATGGGTAGGGGGGTTGTGAGGGCGATGGGTAGTGGGGTTGTGGGGCGGATGGGTAGCGAGCAAATTCTGGAACTGCCGCTTGAAATGGTGTCTGTGGGCTTGGTGAATTGTTTGCTTGGGGGCAGTTAGCAGAGCCTAAGTTGCCCAAGAAGCGCCCCTTTGGGGAGGACGTGGGTGCAGCAGAGGAGACAGGTGCAGGAGAGGAGACGGGCACAGCAGAGGACATGTGTGCAGCAGCAACAGCAGGATAGCGTACGGTGGGTTGTGATGGATGAGGGGCGGATGAGAGGGGCGAGCCAGCTGGGGATTGGACGGCTGGCGACCATGATGGGATTGATGGGGCTGCTGGTGCTGCTGGTGCTGATGTGCCACGTGGCATGCGGAGTATCTCCTGCCAAGAGCAGAAGCAAAAAGGAGGAGCAATTGATGATACTGGACGAGCAATCTGTGCCATGTGGAGGCAAGCGCTGAGGAGAACCCTTTGCCTTTAGCATGCTGTGCGTCATTCGGATGCCATTACTCTTCCCTCTTTTTTCTATTACAGCCCTTGCCTCGTTCGCCTTGGCCCTCGCCTCTTTCGCCTTGAGGTACTTGCTCCAGTGCCACGCTATGGACGGCAGCATCTCCCATCCCTTCAAGGCATCCCACTACTCTCTCGTCTCCCAACCACAACTCCCCCCCCCTACCCTCCTCCCGTCTCACATCTTTTGCCTTGAGGTACTTGCTCCAATGCCACGCTGTGGACGGCTTCTCCCACCCGCCCGGGCCTCCATTGTATGCGCGCACCACGTACTCCTCATTGCGAGTGCTGTTGTCGGGAAGCGATGAGGAGGAAGACCAGACATTGCACGAGTGTGTGTGTGTGTGTGCGTGTGTGTGTGTGTGCACGTGTGTGTGTGCGTGTGTGTGTGTGTGTGCGTGTGTGTATGTGTGTGTGCGTGTGTGTATGTGTGTGTGCATGTGTGTATGTGTGTGTGCATGTGTGTATGTGTGTGTGCGTGTGTGTGTGTGCGTGTGTGTGTGTGTGTGTGTGCGCATGTGTGTGTGTGTGTGTATGTGTGTGTGCGTGTGTGTGTGTGCGTGCGTTTTGTTTCTCCCACGTCCCTGGCCCTCCGTTGTATGCGCACACCACATACTCCTCACTGCGAGTGACGAATGGGCAAAAGGGAAGAGGTTGGGTTGGGCATAAGTGTGGGATGACAAGCCCCCCCCCTCCCCACCCTCCATTGTATGCTCGCACCACATCCTCCTCACTGTGAGTGCTGAATAGGTAGGTGGGAAGGGAAGGAAGGATGCCAGTTGGGGTGCGAGCACACTCAAATGCAGCGACTGCTGAGTTGATGCCACGTGGCACACATACACACACCTACGCGCTACAGGGCACCTGCGAGCACACTCACACGTGGCGACTGCTGGGGAGACGCAAGTGCCAACTACAGGGCACCTGAGGAGTGCACACTTGAGGAGAACACACCTGAGGAGTTCACACCTGAGGTGAACACACCTGAGGAGAACACACCTGAGGTGAACACACCTGAGGTGAACACACCTGAGGTGAACACACCTGAGGTGAACACACCTGAGGAGAACACACTCGAGTGCAGCACTCACACACGGTTATAAGTGGTGAGCCACGTCATGTACGCCATGCCATAGTACATCCCCACGAACGGCCGATAGAGCATGGATGATGCCCAATCGACAGTGTAGGCCCGATACCCCATGTCCCTCGCCAGCCACTCCGCTGTTGTCTGTAACACCTGTAAAAGTTACATAGAAACAAGGGGGATAGTCGAAGCGAGGAAAAATCCGTGATACCAAGGGAGAACTTGTCGGACCTGTAAAGAAATCAGTGTAGTGAACCATCCCTCTCCCCTCCCCCTTCGCCCCTCTCCCTCGCCCCTCTCCCTATCCACCCCCTCCTCACTCTCATGCACCCGCACGAGTCCGGTGCTGGCCGCCCCTTAAGCCATGAATTGCCACACACTCTCAACCCTCGCCCCCTCGCCGCCACTGCTACTACTCTTTGGATGTGTTGCTGCCCCTCGGTTCCCCTCACCTGCATGATCCCACCCAGTTGCTGGCCTCTCCTCGATTTTTGAGGCGCCTCAATCCTCGCCCCCTTGCCGCCATGGCGACTACTCTTTGGATGCGTTGCTACCCCTTGTGGTTCCCCTCACCTGCATGAGCCCCGTGCTGGCCTCTCCTCGTCCGCTCTCATATCTGTACGCCATGGGCTGCCACGCGCTCTCCACCCTCGCCACCGCGCACACCACCAGCACCGCCTCCCTTTCACTCCCTGCCATGCCCGTCGGCCAGAGCCGCTTGCTTGGCTTGCTGAAGTGGCGGTGCATGAGAATCGATACCATGCCTTGCAGCTCTGGGGAGGGAGGAGTGGGGGGTGGGAGGAGTGGGGGGAGAGAGAGAGGTGCAGGTGATGAGAGCGGGAGAGGGGGAATGCCTGCTCGGCGTGCTGGAAGTGGCGGCGGAGGAGAATTAAAGCCTTGGAGCTCTGGGGAGGGAGTGGTAGGGGGTGGGGAGAATTGGGGGAACAGCCACCACCACCAGCACCGCCTCCCCCTCGCTGCCCGCCATGCCCACAGCCGCCTGCTTGGCGTGCTGAAGGGGCGGCGGAGGAGAATGAGAGTCATGGCCTGAAACTCTGTGGGAGCACTGGTACTTTTCAGAACGACAATGCGACTGCGAGTAGGCCACTTAGAGAGTAGGCGACTGAGGGTGTGCAACTGAGAGAGTAGGCGATTGAGAGTGTGCAACTGAGAGAGTAAGCGATTGAGAGTGTGTAACTGAGAGAGTAGGCGACTGAGAGTGTGCAACTGAGAGAGTAGGCGATTGAGAGTGTGCAACTGAGAGAGTAGGCGACTGAGAGTGTGTAACTGAGAGATTAGGCGACTGAGAGTGTGCAACTGAGAGAGTAGGCGATTGAGAGTGTGCGACTGAGAGAGTAGGCGACTGAGAGTGTGCGACTGAGAGAGTAGGCGATTGAGAGTGTGCAAGTGAGAGAGTAGGCGACTGAGAGTGTGCAACTGAGAGAGTAGGCGATCGAGAGTGTGCAACTGAGAGAGTAGGCGATTGAGAGTGTGCAACTGAGAGAGTAGGCGATTGAGAGTGTGCGACTGAGAGAGTAGGCGATTGAGAGTATGCAACCGAGACGTCATTTACCTCTCTCCTCGCGTCCAGGCTATGTTCAAGGTGTCGCAGAAATGTGTTGTGGCACGTTTATGCGACAGGAGTGTAGCAAGGGCTTTTGGGGATGGTAGTGTATTATGCTGAGATGGGACAGGGTTATAGCGGAGTTGCAGCTTCGGGGTGTGTTGGTTCGGATCAAGCCATCAAGAGCAGGGTGGGGAGGGGACAGCTGGTGAGGTTGGGGGTGACGAGGCTCGTTTGTTCGGATTGGGAGAGGGGAGAGGACTCGGCATGCCAAGGGGGGCAGGTGGCGAGGCAGTTGGCGGTGCTTGTACAGGAGTGAAGAGTGCCTGCTTGAGCATGCCTACCATAGTGTGTGTGATTGAAGCGGTCGACGTGACGGGGATCCGTCCCGCTTCACAGGATCCTTAGGCAGGCAGGGTTGCATGTGTACATAGGGTGGCTGCCTGTGTTCAGAATCGTGTTCTCCTCTCCTCTCTAGTCCTCTGCCAGCATTACCTTCAAGGCTAACACAACTTGCCGCCGAACCTCTTCATATCTCGCTTCATCACTCACCTCCCTCGCACTTGCCTCACACACCTTCACTCCTCTCCTCTCCTCTCCTCTCCTCTCCTCTCCCCTCCTCTCAGCATTACCTTCAAGGCCGATATAAGGCACCATCTTGTCGCCGACCCTCTTCATCTCGAACGGAACCTTCCCCGACGCTTCTCGCCTCCGGTCCCACGCCGCCCTGACGTCAGGCAGGGCCCACATGGCTCGCATGTCGTCGCCGTCGGTCCAGTCGTCCCAATAGTAGACATTCGGCACGTGATGCCCGCTGCGATGCTCCATGCGTCCGGCGAGATTAGAGTCGGATCCGAAACCGAATCTGAATCCGGATTCGATTTTTGTCACCGGCCGTCGCGGTCGACTGCAGGCTCTATTTTCAGTGGTTGACAGTGGAAGTGAATGACGCTTCGGACCGATGCGTCGGACGGAAGCCCCTGACTCGCGTCGCGGAATCGAAGGTGATAGACTACGCTGACCTAGCACAGAGCAAGGAGCGACGCTTTTACGGATTTCGTGGAAGCGCGCCGAGCTGAATCTGGAGGCAGTTGCATCAAGGCTTACGGATGTGGTGCTGGTCAGGCCATAAGCACGAACGCTGACAGGAGAAGAAGAAGACGAACGGATCCTCGTTTTGAGACGTCTCAAGACTAAACTATCATCGAGACTTACGGATGTGGTGCTGGTCAGGCCATAACCACGAATGCTGACAGGAGATGACGAAGAAAGGATCCTCGTGCACGTCATTCGCTTCGACGAGAAGCCAACGGGGAATTTCAAACGGAGCGTACTCAAAGGCGTATAAGCTAGTAAAGTCGACGATGAGAAACAACTTTCAGGCAGAGGACGCTAATAGAATGGTATTGTAACGCGGGCGGCCGGTAGTACCTGTGACTGAAACTCCCTACGCTGAACGCTGCGAAGCTCGGAGCCTCTGGCAGCCATGTGAGAGAACGGAGCACATTTGGCAGAATCAAGGGAGGAGAGAACAAGGGCCCATGGCTTGGCTGGTCCAAATTCAGTCCAGATTAGCCCTGGTCCCTGAACCATTGTTTTGTACCCCTCAGGGTCAGCAGCATTGGACAGAGCACGGCAGAATCAAGGTTTCGCATCTGCTGCTTGTGCTGCTTCAGGCGCGGCGCGCAGTGCGTAACCTCTTGGTGTGTGATACGCGCGAATCGCTGATCCGATAGGAGGAACACTTGCCGAGGCATTTGTGTATGAAAGCGAGTTGTTCTGTGTGTTTGTGTAACTCGTTACTCGTAACATATATTTTCGCAACCATTGCCTGTCGCCACGATCGCAAGCACAACCTCGCCCCTTATCCTTTCGCTACTTCCTCATCTCTACCCTTTCCTGCCCTGAAGTGCCCAACGAACCTCGCCGTGCTTATATCGAGGTCCTGTTACTCCAATAGTAGGCTTCGATCAGGTCGCCATTCGTCCTGCGAATAATCATTACTCTCGTCGAAATCCACGAATTAGAAGCCATGGGTCCGGCGCAGGCGCACGTGTTGAGTCTCCACGTGGGATCCGCTCCCGTGTCGGCCACGCTCCATCCGTCCGTGCTCTTCAGCATCTGCGACTCGTTCATTCGCCGCAACGAGGACACGCAGCGCGTCATCGGGTCGCTCCTAGGCGTCGTGCATCCCGATGGCACTGTAGACATCCGTAACGCGTACGCCGTCCCTCATAACGAGATCAGCGACACGGTACGGAGCTACCACTGACCCTTCGATTAGGTCACAACCCATAGTAGACTAACCCGGTGTCCCTCTGCACATCTCGTGGGACTGTCACATACGGAACCCTCGAAATTCCCGCCCGTTAGATCCTTCTATCCTCGAAACCCTCCTAAACCCTCTCGCTGGTAGACATGCTCTTGTTCGTTCCTAGCCGAAGGCCGGACTGGTTAGAATAGGAGTTCTATTGTGCCAGCCGAATAGGAATCTGGTGTCCGTCCCTCCCGCTCGGGGTCTGATGGGGATTTTTTTAGAATTCTCAGGGTATTTTCGAGAATTCTAAAAAATACCCTCTATTGTGCCAGCCGAACAGGAATCTGGTATCCGTTTCTCCCGCTCCGGGACTGGGGAAGCTACGTCTAATATGCAACTTTCAAGCTGGTCCGCATTCCTGGCGATCGCATTTCCCGCTTTCGCGTCTCTACCTGGTTTTGAGGCGACTTTTGAGTCGGCTCAAAAGTCACCTCTACCTGGTTTTGAGGCGCCTCAAAACTAGATTCCCCGCTTTCGCGTCTCTACCTGTATCCCGCCATGTCTGATGGACTTCTCATGTCTGTGCTTACTCCCATTGCTTCCGCGATTCCCGCCGCAGGTGGCGCTGGACATCGAGTACCATCGCACCATGGCGGAGCTGAGCCAGCGGGTCAACCCCAAGGAGACCATCGTCGGATGGTGAGACTAACGAGTGGGATTGTGGGATGGTGACAATAACGAAAGTGCTTGTAGGTTGTAACTAGGTGAGTCAGCAAGTCACCCTCAAGGTGGCGCTGGACATCGAGTACCCGCAGGTGGCGCCATGGCTGAGCTGAGCCAGCGAGTCAACCCCAAGGAGACCATCGTCGGATGGTGAGAAAGGAAGTGATTGTGGGATGGTGAGACTAACGAAATGGATTGTGGTACTGTCAATCATTAGCTGAGCCAGCGAGTCAACCCCAAGGAGACCATCGTCGGATGGTGAGACTAACGAAAGTGCTTGCAATTAGCTGAGCCAGCGAATTAACCCCAAAGAGACCATCGTGGGATGGTGATACTAGCGAAAGTGGCTGTGGAATGGTGACACTAACGAAGGATCGAAGGATCGAAGGACCATCGTGGGTGGCGATCGAAGGATGTGCAACTCCCTGTCTCAGCGAGTCAAGGCCAAGGTAGTATTGGACCGGAGGATTGATTGCTGAGCAGATTGATCGTGCCATGGCGAGTAGGAAGTGAACCCCCCCACCCTCCCCTCCCTCCCCCCCCTCCCCCCCCCCTCTCTTTCCCCCGCTCTTACCCCCCTCCCTCCCTCCCTCCCTCCCTCCCTCCCTCCCTCCCTCCCTCCCTCCCTCCCTCCCTCCCTCCCTCCCTCCCTCCCTCCCTCCCTCCCTCCCTCCCTCCCTCCCTCCCTCCCTTCCCCCCCGCCCTGCTCTCACCCTCGTTCCATCCATTTGTTCGAACGCACTCACATAGATCAGGTACTCCACGGGCTCGGGTGTGAGTGCGTTCGACGTGCTTATACACGAGTTCTACACTAAAGAGGCCGGCCACCCCTTCCACCTGACCAACCTTCCACCCCCTCCCTCTCGGTCCCCTGTCATCATCCCTCACACTTAGTCTTTTGAGTCGACTCAAAGTCATCTTTTGAGTCGACTCTTGAGTTTTGAGTCGACTCAAAAGCCAACCTTTCACCCCCTCCCTCTCTGTCCCCTTTCGCCATCCCTCCCCCTTATTCCATCCAGCCCTGCTCGCTCTCACCCTGCCTCCCCCTTATTCCATCACATACATCAGGTACTCCACGGGCTCGGGTGTGAGTGCGTTCGACGTGCTTATACACGACTTCTACACTAAGGAGGCCGGCCACCCCATCCACCTCACCATCGACACCACCTTCCAGTCCCTCAATGCTGCTGCTGACGGTCAATCAGGGGCCGCCACGTCAGCGGTGCGCGCGTACGTGTCGACGCCGCTGTTCATTGGCGAGAAGCAGCTGGCGGCGGCGTTCCAGGAGATTGAGGTGGACATGCGTATGGCGGACGCGGAGAAGATCGGATGTAAGGGGAGCGGGGAGGGGGGGGACGGGGAAATGGGGTTTGAAGGGAGGGGGGCATTGGGCCGCGTGTTGCATGGATATGCGGATGGCGGACGCGGAGAAGATCGGATGTGAGGAGAACGGGGAAGCGTTGGTTTGGGGTGAGGTACTTGCTATGCCCATCCGCCCATGGTGTTTCAGGAGATTATGGCGGGCAAGCGCATGCCATGGCACCTGCGCATGGCATGGCACCTGCGCATGGCATGGCACCTGCGCATGGCATGGCACCTGCGCATGGCATGGCACCTGGGCATGGCCTCCCCGCTTCCTTCTCACTCCCTTCCCCGAACCCCGTCGTTCAGTTCAGTTGACAACCGTCGCCGAACCTCCGTGGGAGCGCCTGCCAGCGGACATGGAGGGGCTGGAGGCTAGCATGGGGCGGCTGCAGAGTCCCTGCTTATGACTTCCTTCGTTCCCTCACACCCCATTCCCACTTTGAGGCGCCTCAAAACGAGTTCCCTCACACCCCATTCCCATCTCCAATGCGTTCAGTCGACAACCTGCGGCGCACAAGTGTGGAGCGCCTGCCAGCGGACATGGAGGGGCTCGAGGCCACCATGGGGCGGCTGCAGGGTATGGTGGATGGCGCTCTGGCGTATGCAAACGACGTGGTGGTGAGTGGATGCGTTGCGGTTATGGTGCGTGGTAACATAACGAGATTATGCCGAGAGGAAGATACAGGGGGCCTGGAGGCCACCATGGGGCGGCTGCAGGGGATGGTGGATGGGGCACTCACTTATGCGAGTGATGTGGTGGTAAGTGATCATATTGAGGGTATGGTTTGCTTTGGAGTGTGACTGTGTGGGGATGAAAGTATTTGTGTGCCTGTGTGTGTGTGTGTGAACGTCTATGCGTCATTGTCCTGTCACCGTGTGCACATGACGGCAAGAGGGGGGCGGACAACGAGGTGGGCAGGGTGCTGCAGGACGCAGTGGCAGCAACCCTTTTTTTGAGGCCAAAACATGGGTTCACACAGCATGAACCCATGGTTCAAAGTGATTTTTGAGTCGACTCAAAAAAGGTTCACACAGCATGAACCCATGGTTCAAAGTGTGTGTCTCTGGCCTGTCATTGTCTCTCTCTCTCTCTCTCTCTCTCTCTCTCTCTCTCTCTCTCTCTCTCTCTCTCTCTCTCTCTCTCTCTCTCTCTCTCTCTTGTGTGTGTGTGCAGGACGGCAAGAGGGAGCCGGACAACGAGGTGGGCAGGGCGCTGTGGGACGCAGTGGCAGCTGTGCCCAGGATAAGCACCGAGGCGTTCGACCGTCTCTTCAACAACAGTGTGCAGGTGAGAGTCCTGTACCACTGCGATAAGAGGGATATAGGGCGCTATGGGATGCAGTGGCGGCGGTGGATCATAAGCACCGAGGCGTTTGACCGCCTGTTCAACAACAGCGTGCAAATGAGACTGATGGTCTGGATATGTGCGATATATGTGATCTGTGTGATGTGTGATGTGTGTGATATGTGCGATATGTGTGATATGTGTGATATGTGTGATGTGTGATGTGTGTGACATGTGCGATATGTGTGATATGTGTGATATGTGCGATATGTGTGATATGTGCGATATGTGTGATATGTTTGAAATGCGTGATACGTGTGATGTGTGTGATATGTGTGATGTGTGTGATATGTGTGATGTGTGTGATATGTGCGATATGTGTGATATGTGCAATATGTGTGATATGTGTTATATGTGTGATATCTGTGATATATGTGCGATATGTGTGATATGACGTCTTTCACAGCAACTCAAGGTGGGATGGAACGCTGTGGAAGGACGTGCTCCTGGTGCTGCACCTACCCAACATCACTCGCTGTGTTCTTACTATCCCTTCTCACTCCTCTCACTCCTCTCACTCACTCCTCTCACTCCTCTCACTCCTCTCACTCACTCCTCTCACTCCTCTCACTCCTCTCACTCCCCTCACTCACTCCTCACACTCCCCTCACTCACTCCTCTCACTCTCACTCTTCTCACTCCTCCCTCCGTTGTGATCCTGGTGCTGTACCTGTCCAACCTTACTCGCAGTTTCCCACTGCCCCTTACTCACTCCTCTCACTCCTTTGCCCTCGCCTGTCTCGCTTCTCTCTCTTTCTGCCCCCGTTCCCCACAGCAGGACGTGGCCCTCGTGCTGTACTGAGGCGCCTCAAAAATTCCCCACAGCAGGACGTGGCCCTCGTGCTGTACTGAGGCGCC